GAAAATGAAATAGTGTAGGAAGGGAGAACGCAGCAAAACCCCTTGCCCATTTAGGTACTCCAGCTAAGCCATTTTCACGTCTTTCTTCCTTCCTTACCTGTCATCTTCCAATTTTCCAGTTGCTATTCTCCCCCACAAAAATCCCTTTCCTCCATTATGTCTTTAATCTCCCCAACCTCTTCAAACTTGTCTACACATCGGTTGAGCTCCTAAGTTCTCTTTTGTGTGTCCCCACTCCCACCCCGAGTTTACCAAGCCACAGAAATCAGGAATCAATCACCATTTCAACCTGAAGTTGCACTGATCCTGAGATGCAGAAAACCAGATTGTGGAATTCTTGCTCCTGCTGCGCTTTCTATGAAATCTCTCGCATTTCATGTAAACTTTCCCCCTCTTTTTAGCTTGCCACTCACAGCAAGGGCTCCCATTAATGTGGCTTTTGAAGGAGGGAAAAAACTCAGCTGGTGAAATAAATAGTTATTGAACAATCTGCTGTTAGAGGTTTTTCACACCATTTGCTTGTCCTTAACATATTTGGTCCTCCTGGATTCTGGTTTACGAAAGGATGTGCTACAAAGTTCATTTCAGGTGCCACAGAATGCCCTGGGTTGGTTGTGACAAAATAACATAGTCCCGTCTTTGAAAGTCATCTTCTGTGGGACTTAATTTGCTTCTGTGGTAGGCACTGGTTGTGTTGACCCATCACTTTAAGCCATAAGGTTAATATTTGCAAACCACAGTGACTGGATCTGCCAAACAGGCCCAACCAAAATCAAACAATCCGATCTCTGTTTCTTTTTAAAAATCACATTTCGTGCCACCGGATGGGATTATCCAGAGGTATTCCTTGTAATACTTCATTCGTATAAATCACTGTGTATTGGGTAGGAACGTGTTTGCAAGGAAAGAACGTGGCCCCTTTTCGTATAAATGTGAGCACAAGGCTCTTCTGAACTCTGCAGTCTTTGTTTTAATTCTGAGAATGATAGAAGAGGGTTAAGAATGAAAGTGAAATTGTTGAATAAGTGATTTTTGTGCAGGTCCAAAACTTTTTAAGTTGGGGGTCTATTTCTTAGCTTCAGCTTCCAGCTAGAAAGCGGGTGCACAAGCTGTAAAACAAACAGGAACAGCTGTAGAATAGATAATTATTATTTATAATATTATATTTTACCTCTCGATATCGGGGCAGTACTAGTGGCTGGAACGTAGAAGAGGCAACTTTGGTTGTGTACGTTCCTAGGGGTATCTGGTCAGTCACTGTAGAAACTCAGTTGCTCAATCAGATAAAGCCTTTAGCCGGATCTGTGAAGGTTATTCTGATGCTGCAAATTTAATCAAGGGCCGGTAGTCTGACTCATAATCATAGTTGCTTAATTCCAGGTGACAGGAGGTTGGACTTTGGTCACTGAGTGGAAGAGACAAGTACTCTGCAGAAGCTCAGAGGCACACCTCCATCTAGGGTAATTTGGGGTGGGTGGGGGAGGACTCAGGCCTCATAACACAAGCTTATGAATTTAAGAGGAGCTTCTGAGAACTTGGAGTCACACATCAAAATGAAGTAGTGTGATTTCAGGCTGGTTCTGCCATGTTTCCCCTGTCATCTGTGCCAAGCTCTGACTCATAGGATGGTCTTTGCTGTTGTCTTGGGGAGTAGAAGATCCAGTGTTTCTTCTATGAAATGCCCTTCTCCAGAAGTCCATTAGTGGTTGTTCAAAGTGTGGTTTTTTTTCCACTAGGATTGTATGATAGGTGAGCGGACAGGCCAGCATGGAATAGGCTACCTGATGTTCTCCAGAACTTCTGGCCTATAACTCCTCCAATTCCTTCTCATGATGGTGGAAGGAGATGGCAGTTGATGATCAAACTGTCTGCAGGCTCCAGGTTTCCTACCCACAGAGTAGCCCGCAGCACCTCTAAATTTGAGAAGGAGACTTGTTACTTACCATTTACGGCCACCAGCAGCATAGATGGTGTTCAAAGTCTCTGATAGATGTCAAGTTTTGGTGGAGTCAAGGCTGCCTTGCTCATATTGAGCAAGAGGTTGAGCTGTGTCACCAGGAAGTGTCTAATTCAGCGGTTGCCTGTTCCATTAACTTGGACAACTCATTTCCTATACTCCCAACTGCAATGTGCTTGTGGTTCTGGGGTGGTAGTGGTGGTAGAATTGTAGCACTTATCTACCTTCCAGGGGTGATGCATGCATTGCTGGAGAAAAAAAACTGTGAAACACTTTGTATGTTGCAGAGAATTGCAAGAAACCGAACATTTGTTGGGTCTATTGGCCAACCTTGGGTCTCTTCTTAGTATTCTTATAGCTATCATGCCCTAAGAACTGCAGCGTTCCTCTTAGCTTTGTACAGGCCTGGATCTTAAATATTTGGAAGATGTTTCTAGCCTGAAAGCATTTTTCTTAGCTCTGGTGCCCCCAAGGAAAGAGAATACGGTCTTAAAATAGGAGTGGGGCTGAAAGAGAATTGTGGTTGGTGTTAGGAAGTGTCATCTTGTGGTTCTGGATGGTTGTGTCCTCAAGTTGCTCCCGAAAAACTGGTGGTGTGGAAGTGCACAGGGTACGCATAGCAATTTACTTGGGGAACCTCTTCATCAAACTTGTTGCCCTTAATTTTCCTGGGCACCTTCAGCTTCACAACTGGACTTTCTGGATTGTCCTTGTAGCTCCTAACTGCTGGTTTCAGGAACAATATGCTTGCCCTGGAAACCTCTCCTGCCCTTTATTCTACGCTGCTGTTGCAACCTGGCAAACATCAGATTGTAAGCTGGCAGCCTCGCTGTCGTGAGCTGAAGGTACAAAAACTGGGGTTGGATATAGCTTGACCCACCCCCAGGACTAGAAGCCACTTCACCGCGTTCCTGCTTTGGCCTGGAGACTGAATCCAGGTTCACGTCAGCATCAGTTTCCACCTGGCCAGTGGCGTAACCTCCCCACTTCCCCGTCCAGAAGATTAGGGAGAGTCCCTCCCTTCTGCTTTTCAGTAGGGAAAAGTGCCAACACACCATCTCGTGACTCGCCGGCTTCCTGTCACCTCTCTGCCTGCCACTCAAAGGCTCTGTTAAGAAACTTCCTTCTTGTGACAATTGGCTTTACTCGCCGTTCAGTATTTGGGAGGGAAGAGCTGAGTCAAACAGCTGCTTGCTGTAGGCTGCTGGCCCAGATCTACCCCAGCAGGGGTAGAGGTTCTGCAATCCAGGGCCAAAGGTCATACTGCCTGGGGTTTCTGGGAATTGAAGTCCAGCCCATCTATAAAAACACCTGGATGAGAAAGTTGAGTGAGCTGGTCTGATGTGGCCATTAAGCATTGCCTAACTCTCGCCGTGAGAGCTGTGCCCTGACAGGTGTATTATAGGATGGGAGAAGCATCTCCAGAGTGCCTTGGAATGAGAAGTCTCACGTGGTTAAGAGAAGGTGTCCTAGGATTGAGAACTTGAGTATGGGTCTCCCTGGGACATCTATGGTTGACTCAGCAGCTTCATCCTTCATACCCAGAAGGATTAGACTGTTCCATCTAGAAAGGTCTATGAATGTGTTTTCCTGGTCGCCTATTAACCTTTTGGATTTTAACTGAAATGGTTTTGGGTTTTTCTGATCTATTGTATGCCGCCTGGAGGCACAGCGTTCAAGTTGGGTGGCCACGTAAATTCTTGAAACAAATCAAAGAACTCATCCTTGGCGACTCAAGATTGGGCAAAGTGGAATAGCATGCTTTTAGAGATCACCTCTCTGTGCCCCACTGGTAAAATTTTAAGGCCTCTGTTGAGCTTCAGGTAATAGTTCTGAACTGGATCTTCCAACACAGGAGAAAATGTATCCTGGTTAGTTTGCTTGTTTATTATTTTGGTGTATATCCTACCCTTCCATTCCTAAGTTACACAGAGCAGTAAGAGAGATAACCGAGTGTATCAGCTGCAGTTAAAATCATCACTGGTCCCATTCAAAAGGTCTGGTGGGTACTGTTGGATGAGATCAGCTCTGAAAAATGAAGGCCAGGTGGGATGGAAGGAATTGCAGATGTCCTTGGCTCACTCTGTCGTCTAATCATAAATAAAAGTTTGAGAATGTCAGGTTTTTCCGGGCCTTCCTCTATTTTACTGACCTTGTTACCACATTCATGGCCTCTCTCCCCCTGGGGAGCTCAAGGTGTGCTCACTTAATCTTCAGAAAAACTCAGCGAGGTCGACTGATTTGAGAAAATATATGCTTGATCTTCAGGGTCAGTGGTCATCTCCACTCTGGATGATGGGAAATGTTCTTAAGCCTATCCAGAGGGCACCTGCTCGGGAAAGCTGTTGACCGATTCCCGGGCAATTTCAGGCAGGGTGCAAGATGTGTAAGTTGCTGGCCCCTTCATATCCCTGCCCATCTGTGGAATCTGAGCAGGGTGAGGTCCTCTTCTGATGAGCCTCAGATTCTGGGAACGGTGGTTTCTGGCAGGTTTTGAGCTTCCTCAAAGATCAGCCAAGGAAGAACAGAAGTGTTCTGGACTTCAGAAGCTCATTGGGACGTTGGAGGTGTGTCCCCAGCTGGAAGGATAGCGAGAATTCTCTAGCAAATCAGCCAAAATATCTAGACTTCTGCACAGTCAGTAATTCTACCATAAGCCCAGTCCTGTCTGTCCGTGTTCCAGGAGGTGCAGAAATAATCTGCTTTTAAGTGCGGTGGTTCATTTGGCTGGAAACAGTCCCTAACTCACTTGTTTGGCGAGTGCCCATCTGAGTTCCTTTCCAGACCTCTCCAAACAGAGCCCAAGGCTTGTCAGGTACCGAATGACATTAAAAGTAGATTGTGGAAGCTGATAGGTTGCAATCAGCCATCTGTAGGAAGCGTGGCTCTTTTTTCGTTTTTGGGACTGTTTGCCTATGCAGTCAGATTTCTGTGAGGGAAAGGCCTGATTTTAGGCAGTCAGGTTTAATCTGTACATCCAGGAGGTGCAAACTTTAGTCTGGAATAAAAAGTAGGCAGGAAACTCTGGGAAATGTGTTCCCAACACATTTGGCATTTGTGAAGATGGGGAAGACCAAACATGTGTTTTGGGACAGGAGAACAGTGGCCAGGTGTTAATAAACTTGAATCCCACCCCCACCCCCCCGTTTCCCCGGACAATATCCATGCAAGAAATAAATTCTCCCCCCTCCCCGGAGAGTAAGAACCGTATTTTGCGTCCATTCAAACTTCCTCCCCCCTTTTGACCCGTGTGTTCTTTTTTTCCAGTGATTACCTGTTCAAGTTGCTTCTGATCGGCGATTCTGGTGTGGGGAAGTCGTGTCTCTTGCTACGATTTGCAGTGAGTGTTTTTCTCACTAACCATTTGTCTTTCCAATGCACGCAGCCCTTCTGAGCGGCTGCACATTTAGGAGTGTTTTGAGGCCAAGAAGAGAGACATAAAACCAGGGATTACGCTTCTGGAATTTCTTACCTGCCCCCCCGCCCCCATCTTCAATCCCCTTTATTGAAAAACAGATTTTCGGTGAACTTCTTTTCCTGTTGCCCCCGGATTAGATTCCTAAATTCTAATTCCAAGTGAGGCGCGTGGATTTAAAACGCATGATTTGTTTTTTTGCCTCGGTTTGGAGAGTTTGAATGTTAGAATTAAGGGTAGGGTTAATGAACGCGGATCAAGGATGGGACTGACAGAGTGACTCCTTTTCTTGGCGGTGACTTTTTCCCCTGGTCTCTGCGCTAGGATGACACGTATACAGAAAGTTACATCAGCACCATCGGGGTAGACTTCAAAATCCGTACCATCGAGCTGGATGGCAAAACTATTAAGCTGCAAATCGTAAGTTTTGGGCTGGCTGTCTGGGTGGGTGGGTGGGTGGGTGGCCGGCCTCCCCAGGGCTCCACGTAGGTCCTGAAATTCTGCAATTAGCCGCTGAAAGCTATTTTAGCAACGGGAGCCTCCCGGAGCAGGATAGAGAAGGAACATGAGTCGTCTTTCTGCCTAGTTAAAGACGTTTGCTCTGTCACTCAGGCTTGGATTGGCCCAAAAGAGGCTGAGAGGGAGGTGAAGAAGAACAAACTGGGGTGCTAATCTTAGTCGCATAATGCAGCAGCTAGTAATTTAGTAGGACGTGTATCTGGATTAATGATGAAAGCGGAGTTGCTGCTTCTGGCAGTTCATAGCTGGATCAAGGGAGCGGAGCGCTTTTCAGAAATAGGTATAGAACAGCAAGGAAGAATCTGAGCCGCAAACCAGGGAAAAACCCCATTCAGATGCTACTTTTGCCCTGGATTAAGTAGATGGCATTGGGTCGAACCAGGTTTACCATGGCCTCCCTTCTGCTAAATGCAGGCGGTGTTAGTGTGTCTTACCAAATTGTCTCTAGCATTGCCGATGAAGTATGCCAAAGTGGGCTTTCTAATGCAGAGACCAAGAACTTTCTTGGAGGGATCAATATATTGCCTTCCAAAGGGTGGAGCAGCGTATCAAGGATTTGGGTACCTGGTCCCTCGGTCTGTGCTGGGTTTTATCTTCCAGACATGGAGCCAGATGGTGCCTCTGATCAAAATAGACTCAAAAGTTCCTTTCCTCTTTTCGAAACTATTGACCAAGTTAATCCTTGAATGAAGCTTCTAGATCACTGTGTCTCAACCTTGGCCACTTTAAGCTGTGTGGACTTCAACTCCCAGAATTCCCCAGCCGGCTGGGGAGTTCTGGGAGTTGAAGTCCATGCAGCTTAAAGTGGCCAAGGTTGAGACACACTGATCTAGATCTAGGATGCTGGCTGGGGAATTCTGGGAGTTGACGTCCATACATCTTCAAGTTGCCGAGTTTGAAAACCACTGTTCTAGATCCATCCTCGATGGATCTAATTGTCCGGTCCTTTGACTAGGATGGGTGTAGCCCCTCCTGAGGAGTGGGTGTGTTTTGTTCTACCCAGTTCTTGCCATGTTCTCTTCCTTGTTTTTACTTACTTATTTATTTCTGCCTGTCAATTAATTTTATTTCTTTACTTGAGAACTGCCCAGAGTCCCCGGGAGTCAGGCAGACATGTATTTAATAAATAAGTAGAAAATAATCCACAATTAATCCTGCAGCACTGGGCAGGATTCTCACGATCCGCCCTTTCATCCTGTCTGGGAGGGCGCTAACCTCAGCTCCTCTCTTTCGACTTTCTCCAGTGGGACACAGCCGGGCAGGAACGGTTCCGAACCATCACGTCCAGCTACTACCGAGGGGCCCACGGCATCATTGTGGTATACGACGTAACGGATCAGGTACCGAAACGACCACGTGATGGTCAGAGCAGCCGGGGAGCTGGACCACGGAGGCTTAGGGACCTTGGACACGACCCGGTTCTGGGGCGGATACAAAAATCTGCCAAGATCAACTGAAAGCAGCGAAACCAGAAAGCAGTCTCTCGTTAGCATGCGTTTCCAGAACGCTGGCTCATTTAAAAAAAAAACAACTGTCTTTTCGCCCAGTGTGAAATCCCATAATTGGATAGGTCCCCCCGAAATTAAAAAGGGACATAACCATAGTGACAATGAGAAGGATAAACAGGCTGTCCTGCCAGTTAAAGGGCATCGCCCTTAAGTTGAAATACTTGCCTCAGCAAAACAGCTGCAGGAAAAGTTGGGCCCGATTGCAAGAAAAGGCCGTATTGAGGGCCAGCCCCACAGTCTGTGGGAGGGTATTCTGAAGTTGGGGCATCGCTGTGGGAAAGGTGCTTTTCTTTGGCGTAGCAGAACGTGCCTCTCTTATAAGTGGAACTTGGAGAGGATTTAAATCAGAAAGTTGGACTTTGTGCCACAGATGTGGACTTCAACTCCCAGAATTCTTGTCTTTGGCCATGTTGGCTGTGGAATTCTGGGAGTTGAAGTCCACCCATGCTGGCTGAGGAATCCTGGGAGTTGAAGTCCACCCACCTGGAAATCATGGTTGGGAACCCCAGCCCTAGCCTTTTGGGTGGGGGGCTTGTGGTAGCCCCTGGGCCGCCTTTCAGCCTCACCTTGCCTCTCCCCCCATCGTCCCCTCCTGCCCAGGAGTCGTACAACAACGTCAAGCAGTGGCTGCAAGAGATTGAGCGCTACGCCAGCGAGAACGTCAACAAGCTGCTCGTGGGCAACAAGTGTGACCTGACCACAAAGAAGGTGGTGGATTACACAACCGCCAAGGTGAGCCTCCTGCTGTAGGAAGTGCATGCCCCCCCCCTCCACTCCCCGTGTTTTTATTTATTTATTTCCTCGGGAGCCAAATCTCATAAGTCAAATGCAACAAAGCTAGTGGCCCATAATATTTGGGGGGGGGAAGAACGCGTCAGCCGGCTCCTCTCACCCTTGGGTCTTGGCTACCACTTCAAGCATTTCGCCACCTTATGTGACTGTTATCAGCACAGCTGAACATTTCGGCTGCTGCTGACATCCAGAATCAGCTGGGAAGGGAGCGTTCCCTGCCCGTTGAGGACAGAACCCGGTAGCTGGGCTGTCCTGGTGATCTTTAAAGCAGCGGGGAACTTCTCACCTGTTTCTCTTAATTTTCCAAACTCCGCTTCACCCGTTGCTTCTTCGTCCCCCTGGGAAACTCTTCCCAAGGATGATCTTAGAAACCCTTCCTGGGCCTTTTCTGGGGCCACGGTCCCGACCTTGTCTCTCCCGGCTGAAGCGCTTTCTGCTCACCGTCCCCTCTCTTCCTCGGCCCCCCGGACAGGAGTTTGCCGACTCGCTGAGCATCCCCTTCTTGGAGACCAGCGCCAAGAACGCCACCAACGTGGAGCAGTCCTTCATGACCATGGCGGCCGAGATCAAGAAGCGGATGGGGCCCGGGGCCACGGCCGGCGGAGACAGACCCAACCTGAAAATTGACAGCACTCCGGTTAAACAAGGAGGCGGCGGCTGTTGCTGAAAAGGAGGGACATGGTTGCTTGGGGGGGCGCGGGCGTGGCCCGGAGAGGCTGG